TGGCCCCGAGCCCATGGCTGGCCCCAAGATCCGAGGGGTCACAAGCCAGCTTTGCCACTGTCCCTCCAGTGCGAGGCCTGGGCCGTCTCGTCACCAGGGCCTGGGGTCGGTGGCTTCACTGTCCCTCCCAGCCAGGCCTCTTCCCCCCACAGGAGCCCCAGGACACGTGACCTCCCTTCACCCCCTTGCAGACAATGGCCAGCCCCAGCACACGGAGGGCACCACCTGCCCGCCCAGTCCCGCCCCAGAGACCAGGGGTCCGGGAAGGGGCATCAGCCCCTCCCCAGCGAGTCTCCGGCCACGGCCGAGCCCTGGGCACAGTCTGAGCGGGCTGGGAAGGAGGCAGCGTGAGCCGAGCTAACGCAACCACAGGCGGGAGGGGGCGTCACGGGGCAGACTCACCGCCACGGCGCCTGCAGCGGGTTGCTCTGCGAATAGCTTGTTGGCTCGCTGGACGCCTGCCGGTGTCTCCCCGCGTCCTCCTTGAGCACGGCCCCCCGGCAGCGCCCGCGCCAGTCTGCACCCCCTCCCGGGGGGGTACCCAGCTGCACGCTCCAGGGTCCTCCCTGGTCCTCCCAGTCTGCACCCCCTCCCGGGGGGGTTACCCAGCTGCACGCTCCAGGGTCCTCCCTGGTCCTCCCAGTCTGCACCCCCTCCCGGGGGGGTACCCAGCTGCACGCTCCAGGGTCCTCCCTGGTCCTCCCAGTCTGCACCCCCTCCCGGGGGGGTACCCAGCTGCACGCTCCAGGGTCCTCCCTGGTCCTCCCAGTCTGCACCCCCTCCCGGGGGGGTACCCAGCTGCACGCTCCAGGGTCCTCCCTGGTCCTCCCAGTCTGCACCCCCTCCCGGGGGGGTAATCCCATCCCATCCCATCCCATCCCTGCCCTGCCCTGCCCTGCCCTGCCCTGCTCTGCTCTGCTCTGCTCTGCTCTGCTCTGCCCCCAGGCCCCTCCTGCTCTCTGCCCAGGGCAGCAGGCCAGTATCTCGTGCCCTCCGGGAGCCCTGCTTTATAGCCCCCAGCTGGGCCTCCTTAGCCAGAGCTGCCTCCTGGGGCTCGGCTCGCGTAGGGCTGGGGTTTGCCCTTAAAGGGCCAGCGCAGGGCAAGCGCCCTGTCACGGTGCCTCTTCCCCCTGGAGCTGACTCAGTGCGCACCCCCCGGCCCTCGGCCTACCCCCTGGGGCTTGGGCTGGGCCTGGAGGGGGGCTGAGTGAAAGCTGAATCTGACACTGCTCCCTCTTGGCCATGAGCACTGCCTGCAAGAGGGGCCCCGCCTGCCACCCCAGCAGCCACGTGGGGCTGAGGCCACGGGCCGGTGTGCGATCTTTGGCCGTTTGTGGAGCTGTCCTGTGACAACGTGCTACTGTCCGGGGACACAACGTGCCAGGTCACGGCCCGGCCCTCTCCCCTCTCCCCTCTCCCGAGTGCCCAGACCGGCCTCCCAGGAATGGGGCAAGCAGAGGGCTGGGTTCTGGCATGGGCATAGGGGCTCCCCCGTCCCCCGACGCATGGCTCCCGGCTTCGTGGGGCTCCTGAGAGCTCACCTGAGCGCCCAGACAAGCCAGGCTGAGATCGACTCTGCATTGGGGCAGCGGACGATGGACGTGCCAAGCAGGGGCCTGCAGCTGCCACCAAGCCCCGTCCCTCCTCCTGGCCAGGCAGGGGAAGGCCCCGAGGCCGGGCGGGGGC